CTTCCCAAAAATTGAAGAAGAGGAAAAATTTCCTAACTCATTACATGAGACCAGTATTACCTAGATACCAAAGTCATACTAAAGACACTAACAAGAAAACTACAGACCAATATCTCTTGTGAATCTTGATACAAAACTTCATCAGCATAATAAAAAGGATTATGCACCATGACCAAGTAGGATTTATTCTAGAACTTCAAAGATGGTTCAACCTATGAAAATCAATCAATGTAATATACCACATTAAGAAAATGAAGGAAGAAAAACCACAGAAACATCTCAATTGATGCAGAAAAAGCATTTGATAAAATTCAACACTTTCATGATTAAAAACAAACAGTAAAGTAGGAACAGGAAGAAATTTCCTCAGCATGACAAAGGCCATATGTGAAAAACCCTGAAAGGTATCCTTTAAGAAGAGGAAGAAGAAGAAAAAGGTAAAGATACAAATTATGCCGAAACCGGTTTGGCTCAGTGGATGGAGCGTTGGCCTGCGGACTGAAAGGTCCCAGGTTCGATTCCGGTCAGGGGCATGTACCTGGGTTGCGGGCACATCCCCAGTGGGAGATGTGCAGGAGGCAGCTGGTCGATGTTTCTCTCTCATCGATGTTTCTAACTCTCTATCTCTCTCCCTTCCTCTCTGTAAAAAATCAATAAAATATATTTAAAAAAAAAAAAAAAAAAAAAAAGCTAGCAGAAGAAAGGGAATAGAGATAAATGAAATTAAGAACAGAAAAGTAATAGAGAAAATCAAGCCAAAAATTGGTTCTTAAAAAAGCTGACAAATATTTAGGTAGACTGAGAGTAAAATCAGAAACGAAAGTAGAAACATCATTTTTTTTTACTTTACAGAAATAAATTAGTAAAATCAACATGAAAGTAGAAACATCACTATTGATCTTACAGAAATAAAAAGGATCATAAGAATACTATAAACAATTTGTACCAACAAATTGCATAACCTAGAGGGAATGGACAAATTCCCAGAAATACACCATCTACCAAAATTGAATCATGAAGAAATATAAAGTACAAATAAGCCTATAACTAGTAAAGAGGATAGAATCAGTAATCGAAAACCTGCCAACAAAGAAACAACCTGGACATGATGGCTTCACTCATGAATTCTCCCAAACATATAAAGAAAAAGTAACATCAATCCTTCTCACTTTCTTCCCAAAAATTGAAGAAGAGGAAAAATTTCCTAACTCATTACATGAGACCAGTATTACCTAGATACCAAAGTCATACTAAAGACACTAACAAGAAAACTACAGACCAATATCTCTTGTGAATCTTGATACAAAACTTCATCAGCATAATAAAAAGGATTATGCACCATGACCAAGTAGGATTTATTCTAGAACTTCAAAGATGGTTCAACCTATGAAAATCAATCAATGTAATATACCACATTAAGAAAATGAAGGAAGAAAAACCACAGAAACATCTCAATTGATGCAGAAAAAGCATTTGATAAAATTCAACACTTTCATGATTAAAAACAAACAGTAAAGTAGGAACAGGAAGAAATTTCCTTAGCATGACAAAGGCCATATGTGAAAAACCCTGAAAGGTATCCTTTAAGAAGAGGAAGAAGAAGAAAAAGGTAAAGATACAAATTATGCCGAAACCGGTTTGGCTCAGTGGATGGAGCGTTGGCCTGCGGACTGAAAGGTCCCAGGTTCGATTCCGGTCAGGGGCATGTACCTGGGTTGCGGGCACATCCCCAGTGGGAGATGTGCAGGAGGCAGCTGGTCGATGTTTCTCTCTCATCGATGTTTCTAACTCTCTATCTCTCTCCCTTCCTCTCTGTAAAAAATCAATAAAATATATTTTTTTAAAAAAAGATACAAATTATGAACAACAAATATGCATCTATCAACAAATGAATCTAAGAATCAAGTGGATAAATAACCTGATGTACAGAATGAACTGGTGATTATAATAGAATCAGGGACATAGAAAGGGAATGGACTGACTATTCTTGGGGGGAAAAGGGGTGTGGGAAATGCGGGAAGAGACTGGACAAAAATCGTGCACCTATGGATGAGGACAGTGGGTGGGGAGTGAGGGCGGAGGGTGGGGTGGGAGCTGGAAGGAGGGGAGTTATGGGGAAAAAAAAGAGGAACAAATGTAATAATCTGAACAATAAAGATTTAATAAAAAAAATTTTTAATTAATACTAAGTTTGATTGGCATAAACATGGTTGAAAAAAAAAAAAAGTTTAAAGAAAGCCCTCGACCAGTGATGGCGAACCTTTTGAGCTCGGCGTGTCAGCATTTTGAAAAACCCTAACTTAACTCTGGTGCCGTGTCACATATAGAAATTTTTTGATATTTGCAACCATAGTAAAACAAAGATTTATATTTTTGATATTTATTTTATATATTTAAATGCCATTTAACAAAGAAAAATCAACCAAAAAAATGAGTTCGTGTGTCACCTCTGACACGCGTATCATAGGTTCGCCATCACTGTCCTAGACGGTTTTGCTCAGTAGTTAGAGCATCGGCCCGCAGACTGAAGGGTACTGGGTTTGATTCTAGTCAAGGGCAGGGCAGCTCCCCCGAGCCACACCTTCTACCGCTGGTCAGCTTGGAGCTGGGCACGCAGTCCCTGTGGCACTTCTGTCGGGGAAGTAAGACTTTGGTCAACTGAAGGCCACTGAACTCAAGGCCAGTGGTGAACACAGCAGATGAGTCAAGTGCAGAGGTGACATAAACTGAGGGGTAACAAATGTAGGGGCCACCACGCCCTACTGACTATGGCTAATGGATTTCATCACCATAGCACTTTGCGGCAACTAACAATTCTCATTTCAAATTCTCACATCAGTAGGTGAAGACTTGTATTGAAAAATCTGCCAAATTTCACGGTCAGAGTTTCATACACGACAAGACAGAGTTCCATGTAATTCTGAGCTTGTGACCCATCGCACAAGTCCGATAATTTTGGTGGCCTCAAGAGCAGAAGAATTGCAACCGGAATAAAACGCTTACCCACCATCTCAGGAACACCTGTACTTGGGACACAGCCTGCTTGCAGTCACACAGCTGGGGAGCTGACAAAACTTTCTGAAACTACCCTTTAAATAGGGTTCTTACAACTTCTTGGCATGTGTGTGTGTGTGTTGCCCACACCTGTATCTGTGTGCATGGTTCATTTTTAGCTTTGGGCCAGTGCAGTTGGGGTTAGCTCCTTTGAGTCACTGAAGTCCTGGCTTCTGTAGGTCACCCAAGAAGAGAGGACAGAACCCTGGAGAGGGGTGGAGCAGTCTCAGCCAGACCTGCTTCAGCCTTTGAGCTCAGCTGCGGCGAGGCCCACAACAGTGATTCTGCTTTGGGCACAGCTAGGAAGCAGGTGAAACCTTCCGGAAGGCAATGGATGCATCGGGACTTTAAAGGGGCAGCACTTTGTCTCAGAAATCCCACTTTTAGGAATTTAACCAAAAGAGAGCTCTACACAACTGTGACAAAGCAAGCACAGGGCTCTGTCCTGAGCTTTTATGCTGGCACCAATGATGAAAACCTGACTGTCCGCCAGCAGGTATGGCACAGTAGGAAGTGGGACCATCCACAGAAAGGACCCAGTTAGCAGACCCTAACACAAAGCTCCGCTTCTCGGGAGCATGGAGGTCCTTAGTGCCCTGAGGCTGGCGCTGTCCCTGGAGGTACTTGGCCTTCACACCTGTCCCTATGCCTATGGGCCAGGCACAGTGTGGAACCTGGTGGCCTAGTGGCCAAGAGTTACCAAGATTTCCGCCTACAGGACCTGTACACAGAGCTGCAACTATATCTGTTCACTTACAGTCAGCAGTGGAAGGTGCTCACAGCTCCCAGGGCCAGGCACATGACAGGTACTCAATAAATGCTTGTTATGTGACTGGCATATAAAAATACATCGCTCACTTCAGGAGCGGAGGCAAGCATGGAAACCAAGGCACAGAGAGGCAGTGACTTCTCTTAAAAGGGGTGGGGCCAGATCTGTTGAATCTGCCCCCTTCTGCCCACCCCATGCACTCCTGCCTCGATCAGGCTCCACCATCCCAGGCATCCCCTGCTGGAGCCCTTCCGGTGGCATCTTAGCAGTGTCCCTGCAATCACAACCCCTTCCCGTGTCACCTCGCAATCTGCTTTCCACACAGCAGCTGGGTGACCTCAGGCCGAGGGGCGCCCAGAACCCACGGAAGATCGGCTTGGGCCTCACCAAAGTAACGTTACACACAGGAGACAGTTAACAAAACAAACAACTTCTCCAAGTCGAGACAGGTCTGAATGGGAGAAGGCCTATACAATATCCTTGCCAAAAAATTCAAACCCGAATCTGCTCACACCTCTAAATCCACCCACCAAATCAGAGGACAAAGGTCAGAGGAACATGTGAAAGAACGCCCAGGGACCCCATCAACAGGATCCCGGCTACGGGAAACTCCACTCATTTCCTGAACAACAAATTTAAGTGAAAAGTAAATCAGACAGACAGAGATGGATGGCAATCTATAGATTACGAAAGAATGTGTGCATCTTATTTAGATCCTGGGAGTGTGAGGATGTTAAGAAATCATTGTTTGTGTGTCAGATGTGACAAGTGTTGTTTTAGTACAACTCTTTCAGAAACACAAACTGAAAATTTGACAAAAAGATAAAGGATATTTGGAATTTGGTTTAAAATAACCCCAAGGATCAGGGAAGGTGACAAAACAGGATGGCCCATGAGGTGATGAGAATATAGAGTTCGATAATCTTTTCTGACTAGATTTGTACATGTTTCAAGTTTTCCATAACATAAAGGTTTTTTTGTCTATTTTAAATCTCAAACATCCGTACTAGAGAGAGGGAAAGGAACTAGGGCGGGAGGACTTCCCAGGTGAGAGCCAGGGCCGGGTTGAGGATTTCAAACCATTCTACAGAAGTTTAGGGTTCTGCAAAAGCTTGCTACCAACTTCCTCAAGGGCCCTTCCCAACAGTTTTCAAAATCTCAATTGAAAAGCACCCACCTTATACCCAGATGTGACAGGATCCGGGCTCTGTGGTCAGCGCAGCCTGAGTGCTGTTTTTGATCGTCTGTGAAAGATAAGTACAGAATCGAAAGTCAGAGTTCAGAAACTTTTGCAGGAACTTGACACACAGTGGCTTTGTGTCTGTTGAATCTTATAATAAGACAATGGGCTTTAAAAAAAAGACAATGGGCTTAAATTTTATGTGTCTACGTTTTTATTATAACAACTTCTACTGCATTTTTTAAACGGCCTGTAAGAGATTAAAATTTAAAAACCTAACAAATGACTGGTCCTTCAGCACAGAGTTTGGGAAGCACTGCTGTGGACTGGACATGAACCCCCTAAAAACCAAACCCACCTGCTCAGGTGTCCTGCCGAAGATCCCAGGTCAAATCCTCCCTTCCCACGGCCGGGACTGCAGTCTGCCTATGAACCCGGCACTGACTCGACGCTGCAAAGCCCACTGGATTTTCCTCAGGGAGCAGCCTAGTGGGCAACGCCCACACTTTCTTTTATAAACCACTGGCACAGCCCTGGCCAGTGTGCTCAGTGGATAGAGCATTAACCTGTACAAGGCAGGTTCAATTCCTGGTCAAGGGCACATACCAGGATTGTGACAAGTTCAATCCATCCCAGTCAGGGTACGTGCGGGAGGCAATGAATCGATGTGTCTCTCTCACATCAATGTTTCTCTTTCTCTCTTCCCCCTTCCTCTTTTCCCCCCACTCTCTAAAAATAAATGGAAAAAAAATATCCTTGGGTGAGGATTTAAGAATAACAATAATAATAAATAAAAAAGTTACTGGTGCAGCGACAAGATGCGAGTTAGCCAGGCAACTTCCACATACTTTGGTTGGCTTTCACTGCAGCAGGATCTAAGACTGCAAAGTGAGCTGCTTAAAACCTCCACTACTTCCTTGTGCCAACTACAAATTACTCTCTCACTGAACTAAAGTGCAGAAATCAGTCAGGCACTGGGGCTCGTGTAAGACGCCAACCAGCACTGTGGTTTCAAGAGTGTGCTCATGATAACAGGATCACTGCTCTGACTAGGACATGAAAAAAAATCACAGATGGGAACTTATAAGCACACTGATCTGCAGCCATCGCCTGCACGTGCTTTATATATTGGAGCTCCTTGTTGAAGTTCCACTACTTTAAAAAAAAAGTGAAAGGGACTGCTGGTCAAGATCCTTTGGGTTGCAGTCCTAACCCTGCCACCATTAACGGTTTAGCAACTCTGGGCCTCAGTTTCCTCATCTATCAAATGTGAACAGAACCACCCATTTCATAGCTTTGTTAGAATTAAAAGTGCACACCAAAAATACGTGCTACTCTGCTTCCTTCATAAAATGCGGTCAGTGATGCTGCAACTATGACCAACAATATTACGAATAACAGATGAATTAAAGTATTGCCAATCAAAAAATAGGTCACCAACTCTGCTACATGTGCCCAACAGGGTACTTACTCCCTGTTCCACCCCCTGAAGTCTCGAGAGATCCCCCCTTCAGCCTCGTGAGATCAATTTCATCTCCACGTACAGATGGGGCTTTGAGAGAACAATAGTAGCTGCCCCCTCTGCGTTTTGTACTTGATTTGAGACCTCGACAACACATGTGAAAATCAATGCAGGTAACTTGGGTTGTGACTTCACAGGGTTTCAGGAGGAGCAGTGGTATTAAGGTGGAGTTAAGCCTGTGGCCTGCGCCTGTGTGTGCTCCTGGGCCAGCCCCTCCTTTCAGGAGCAGAGAAAATGTTTGCAGTGCAAGTCCTCAGTGTGGCTTCAGGGTCCCTGGCTCAAAGCAGGCAGGACTGCTGACTCTGTGAAGCTCAACCAGCTGGAGCAGAACGTGGGTGGGGGGAGTACTGGGGCAGGGCGCTCCCAACGGCCCCTTTCCCAGCTTGTGCAGGTGCCAGGGCCCTGGAAGGCAGCCAGTATTCGCCAGAAACGGCTTGCTCTTCACAAGACAATGAGTCCACTGTTAACTGGCAGGGCCTTGATTAATATTTGCAAAAGGAACCAAGTGGAAAATTCCACCTGTGAGGGCGGAGGCAGGGCCTGGGACATGTCAACAACCCTAATGGCCCTGCTCTCCCAGGATGGCTCCAGCAGAGATACAAAGGTCTGATAACAGTGACAGAACCTGAGAGTGTCCTTGCACCGGGTCCAAAGGAATTTCCTGTTTGGTTCATAGACACATTAACTTGTTCTTTCCTGTCCTGCCTCCCCTGCCCCTAAATTTACACAGCACCTTTAAATCTTTCAACTTTCCTCCCATCTCTTCAGAGTCACCCAACAGCCTTGCCAGTCCAGCAGGGCTGGTGTCAACCCCATTTATGGATGAGAATAACTGAGGCTCCAAGACACCAAGAGCCTCGCTGAAGGCTGCAGCGGGTGAGTGAGTAGCTCAGCCAGGGGATGAGGAACCCTGCCATCTCGACCCCTAGCTGTGACCCAGAGCCTGCCCCAGAGGGTCTGGGGTCAGGGGCCACAGGTACTGGACAGAATGGTCCTCCTGCTTCAGCAGAGGCCCTGACCTTCACCCACCCGAGGAGGAAGAGGAACAAGCCCAAACCAGCTCTCCCAGTTGGGTAGGCCTGGGTGCTGGCCTTGGAGGAAGACAGGCATTCACTCATGCATCAAGCATTTAAGGAGTGCCTACGATACCAGGCATGAAGGCACACTGCACGGTGGCTCTTTCAGACACCAGACCTGGCAGAATTCATGACCCAAGGGGGAAGGTCAGAGTATTTCCAAAGGTCACATCCCCCAGACTTGAGTCACCTCATTTAGCCACTGCTAACACACTCTCACCTGCTGGTTTTACAGAACAGGAAAGTGAGGCTCTGAGAAGGGGAGAGCCTGGCCCGAGGTCACAGAGAGAGAGAGGCTGACACCTCCTGACCCGCAGTGGCCCTGCCTCCAGTGTATAAAGCCTCCACAATCCTGGGCTTAGGCCAGTGGTTCTCAACCTGTGGGTCGCGACCCCTTTGGCGGTCGAACGACCCTTTCACAGGGGTCGCCTAAGACCATCCTGCATATCAGATATTTACATTACGATTCATAACAGTAGCAACATTACAGTTATGAAGTAGCAACGAAAATAATTTTGAGGTTGGGTCACAACATGAGGAACTGTATTTAAAGGGCCAGAAGGTTGAGAACCACTGGCTTAGGCATTCAAGCAAATGGTGTCCCTCCCACAGGCCTCCTCAGACACTGCACCTTTATCAACAAGGGCCTCTCACGGAGGAACACTTTTGTCAATGGTCTTCAGAGCAGCGTGGCACCTCCCGAGTGGACAGGCAGGCACACCTTGTTTGCCCACAGAGAACACCAGGTGTGGCTGCAGGGCTCACCTCTGGGCCCACACTCTGCCATCCTGTCTGCAGAGCATGGGCATCACTGCCATCCTACTGAGGGCCAGGCTCACAACAGTGTCATGCCTCTGTGCCTGCACCCGAAGCCTGGACCCAGGGCAGTGGATGGGGGGACTCAGTCTGTGTCCCACACCAATGCCCAGCATCCCTTCTTCCCCTCCTACCCACATGCTCGGCAACCTCTACTTCACCTCACCTTCCCCCTCTCCTTTGCCCAGCAGTTTCTTCCCCTGAAGAACCTCAGCCTCTCCTGTAGCTAAAAAAAAAAGCCACCCCCCAGACTCCCATATCTGAACCCACTTACTCCCATGCCCCTCTCACCCCCTCTAGCCAACATCTAACTGCCAGTGACGTAGGCCAGGGGGCCCCTGAGATCAGATGCAACCACAGAAGGCAGGGCCACTGTGGGTCAGGAGGTCTCACTTCCTCCCTGTGTGACCTCTGTCCCACTGTCCCCATGAGCTGCCTCCTCACTCCTGATGCAGTTCCCCCTAGCCCTCACCGCAAAGCTCTCCTCCCCCAGGGCCCTGTTCTCCTCCCCTCCCTAGCACCCCCTAGAAATGTCTGCCTCACAGATCCTGTCTCCAGGCTTGACCTCTGCACCGCTGGTTGTCCCCAAAGCCTTCGCACTCAACAGTCCCAAGTTCCCACCGAAAGGCCTGCTTTGGCGCAGCTGAAACCCAGCACAGCTCCAGCCTGGCCCACAGCAGGGACTGAGCTATGTGAAGGGTTTGGTTAGCAGCTCCCTCCTTGTGGTCTCCGAGGGGCTGGCCTCCCACTGACCTGTACAGCCACCCAGGCAGCCTTTCTAAAACTGAATATTGACCACCACCTCAACCTCTGCTGGGACTCCTTGCCACCACGGGACAAAGTTCATGATCTCAAGCTGGCAGACGAGGCACTTTCACAGCAGGGCAGGCACATGCCCTTGAACATACTCTCACCACACTCATCCTCAGTCCAAGAGGGCCCATGAGCCTTCACCCAGGTGGTGTTCACCTTTGCACCCAGTACTGGCATCCTGCAGGGGTTTGCTAAGAAGACAGCTATTAGAGCTGGACATGATATCAGGAACCACAGGGCTTAAAGCAACTCAGAGAGGTTGAGCAAGGTGTCCAGGGTCACCCAGCCCCAGGCAAGGGTGAGGCAACAACCTCACCTGAACCACTCCCCTTGGTCAGGACCTGGAAATGTCACGTAGAACCCCATATGTATGCATGCCAGAACCCCCAGGTGGTCTTGAGGCTTGGCCCACTCTATGCAGGCCCAAATCTGAACCTGGTAGGAGGCCAGGCCTGACACACAGTAGGACTGCAGCAAAAACAGCTGCTTGACTAAGTCAACCTCTTACCAATTCCATCCATAGGACCCACATCCCTCTCTAAGTCTTAGTCTCCTCATCTGTAGAATGGAGCTAACTTGGGTTACAAGTTTACGTGCCCTTGATCGGTCACCCCAACCTTGTCCTTTGCAAACAGAGAGGGCTGAAGCAGAATTCCAAGCTCTGTGATCTACTGTTAGCCCAGCTGACTTTTGTTAACCTTCCCCTAAACCACTATGTCTCAAAAAAAACAGTCCCCCACCACCTGTGTCAGATTTACCAGGGAGGGCTTGTTAAACGCAGATCTCAGACCCTGCCCCATCTGAGGGTCTGGTAAGAATCTCTGAGAAAGGACCGGAATTTGCATTTAAGGCAATGCTGAGAATCCTGGGCAGTGAAACTGGAGAATCAAAGTTGCAAACTAGATCAATCCTCTAGAAATGTTACCCCGAACCCCCATATATGCATGTCAGAGACCCCACCTAACCTTGAGGCGGGGCCCACTCCATGCAGACCCAAAGCAGAACCCCGCAGGTGGGCCATACCTGGCACACAGTAGGACCACAGTAAAAACAGCCTTGGGAGATCCAAGTATTAGTGCCAGCCCTCATTTTGGGGAAATCTACATTTAACAGAAAAACCTGGGGGGAAGGGAGGATTTCTGTTACCCTAAATAACATAGAACTTAGTTTCTGCAACAGGAACTGGCTCCAGGAAGAATTCAGTAAGGCTTGTCCCACCCCTTTTGCTCCAGGGGGTTCGCCTTTGCATAAAGTGGCGTCCCACTCTCAGCGCCCAGCCGGGGTCTTCCTGACTCACCAAACCTCCGGCCTGAGGCCGGCTGAGGCTGCGGCCAGGGCCATGCGGGGCGGAGGGGACCGGAAGCGGACGGCGCCGTTGTGGGCTGAGTCGGCGGCGGTCGGGGCGCGAACCCTGCTGCTACTCACCCTGGGCAGCTGGGCCCAGTGCCTGGACAGGACAGTGGGCTGTGCGGAGCTGGAGCAGGAGCAGAGGCTGAGCTAGAGAAGCGGCGGCGGCGGCCCCTGCCCCGCTGCACTTTAACTGCCGGCGCCCCGCGCGCTCTCCAAGGCCAGGAGAGGAACCGCGGGCGGCGGGCTCGGGCAGCGAGCCGGGACTGCAGCATCAGGCTGGCTGCTGATCGGTCGGTCTGGGCGCGCGCAGCCCGAGGCGGGAATGCTGTCTGCACCTGGCTCACTGCACGCACGTGTGCGCGGGGTTGGCGCCGCGCCGCTGCGGCGCGTGCTCTGGCCGCGAAGGGTCTGGAGCCGCTGGAACCCGCCCATCCCTGTGAATCCCGCAGGCCAGGGCTCTTCCAAGTTCCCCACCCGGGGAGGGGGCGGCGGGGCCGGGGTGGCGCTGTGGGAGGCGGAGCCCGGAGGGGTGGCCAGGGCGCCTTATAAGAGCGCTATAGGAACCTGGCGAGGACCGCGCGGTGGGGGGCGGTGGCCCTGCGATGTCGCTGGTGTTGCTGAGTTTGGCTGCGCTGTGCCAGGGTGCCCAGCCCCCGGAGCCGGTAAGCTCCCCTTCGCGCCCCTTTCCCACATTTCCATCCCTTGAGCCCGGCCAGCTCGAGCATTGTTAAGGTGTTTGCGGAGGGCCTTCTGGAGAGGGCAAGTGTTCCAATTATCTATAGGAACGTAAGCACAGGTGACCCAAAGCGTTTCATTTGGATATACCAATACAAACGTCAGAGGGTACTTACTATTAATTAATATGGCCGAGCTTAACCAAAAACTAAGGAGAGAGAGAGAGAGACAGGAGATAAACAATGCAAGAAATCACACAGGTTTATTTACCAGAGAGCTGATGGGTTTCAGTCCTTGGCAGGCCACCCGGAGACACTCGCCGACAGAGGAGACACACGGAGGTCGTCAAAAATACGCTGCAGCAATGAGCTCGGTCTCTTGACTCGAAGAGAGGCGCCTCTGGCAGTTTGGGCTCAGGCAGAGCAAGAATGGCAGTTTCACAGTTCGGCAGTTTCCAGGGGGGATGAGAGCGTCCTGTCTGTGGAGGGCAGACAAGCGTCTGAACCTCAGCAGATTTGCTCTCCTTAAATCCTTGAAGCTGGGCGTCTTCAGTGTCTCATATCGGGTGCCATACACGGGTGCTGCCCTGTTATCTAGGTGTACACTCAGGCAGGAAAGTTGTGACCATGTTCACAGCTTATTAATCATACATACATCTTAATTTTGGAGTTGTTTACAAGTTTTGGTCTAAGAATAAAATGGGGTCTACTTATGCTAACTTATGCTAATACAAAGTGAGTTTACTTTATGCTAACTAAACTTATTACTATAACAGGCTTCTTCAGTGTCTCTTGCCAGTGTGCTCCGGTGGCCTTCTGGGCTTGTCAGGATGCACACGCAGGGGGTTGCAAGTTTCTTATCAGGAGTTAACATGCTGGGAGTTATTGGTCAGGAGTTAGCTTGCAGGGCATTACAAGTTACTTATCAGGGTCTCACACACACACACACACAAGTTAAGTTTCACTTCTAAGTAAAGTTTAAAATTCACTCTAATAAAAAAAATGAAATTTGATTATACTATCTTATACTAACTAAACTTATTACTGTAACATTCCACCCGGTGGTTCCCGCTGATACAATATCAAGGGAACCATAAGAGCTATTTTTTAGTTTTACAGCAGAGTTTAAGTATCCTAAAAAACATTACAAGCAAAAATAGGGCTGCTAACACAAAGCAAATTTGTTTAAGCAAAGTCCACAAATTAGTTATTGATGCAAGTCCATGTTGAATCCACGAGATGGGGTTGATGAGTTTCCAGTCTGGATTGCAGGGTACAGTTCTCCAAAGTGAAAGCAGGGTGTCACCTAGTTGACCGTTGGTGTGGAGTTTATTGATGTCTGCACGAACTGCGATCGATCCAGCGTTGGGTACGTAGGCAAGATGTCGTAGTTGATCGTTGGAAGTTTGTAAGGAAGTCAGGGTCTGCTTAACTAGAGGTTCTAGGGCAGTAAGCTTAGATATAGAAGTATTTAAAGTATTTGGGGCAGTATAATGTTTTGTTTGTAAAGAAGGAATAAGTGGAAGAGAGGGTGTCCAATAAAGGGAAGTATCTGTGTCATAGGTGGAATAATGGATAATGTCATTAATAGTAACATTCATAGCATTAACGAGAAGTTTACAAGAATTAGGTAAAGAAGCATGTATATTAGTTGAAGTGGTGTGGTCATAATAGGAGAAATTAGAAAAGCAAATCACAAAGGTGTGTCTACCAATATTATGAAGTATTGGAGTTTTAGTATGAGGCATTAGAGTCATAGGAAAGGTGTCTACTGAGAGCTTTTCCATAGCAATATATATATTAGAAGAAAAAGAAATGAGAGAAGATTTCTGAAAAAAGTATGGTTCTACAAACAAAAGATCTCCTGAAGGAATGGCATATTCACCATCACTTATTAAGATGGGAATATTAATAGTAGGGTAAGCTACTAAGTTTTCACCTCCAACAGCAGATAAGATTGAAAGTTGACAATCATCAAAATTGCATCCAATAGGTTTAGAAAAGTCAACAGAGGCTGTAGCATCATTCCACAATGAATTGTATCCATGTCCTAGAGTCATAAGGTCTAAAAGGTCTTTTTGTGCTTGAGTCAATGAGTTTTGAATTTCTTGGCATTGTGTTCTCAATTGATAATTTTGGAAACGATAGTTCAAATCTTGCAAATCATAATGTAATTTTTGGATATGTTTATCAGTTTCTTTTGCTGTTTCTTTCAACAATCTAAGCTGTTGTTGAGTCTGTGCTGCCAGAGTGTATGCGGAATCAAAAGATTGTGAGATTAATTTGAGAAATTTTCGTTCACTTTCTGACTGATGATGTATATAATTTTGTAAGTCTGAGCCTAATTTATTAATTTTGATAGAGTTTGCTATGGATATAGATAAAGAGACTGACGCCAGTGCAAATGAGGCTGCGTCTAATTGTAATAATTTTCTAGATTTAGAACGAAATTGTTGTGGAAATGGAGTGTTTGTAACCTGTATTGGTGGTTGAACAGAGTTGCAACGAGGTAAAATAGTAGAAGCAAGAAAATCATTAGGTGAAAAATGTATTGTTGTTCTTTGGATTTGTGGTTGAAAAATCAATCTAATTGGGTTATTAATTCGTGTAATAACTGCAGGCGGTGTTTGCAGGATAGGTTTGGGTTTAAGAATTCCATAAGAAAATATAGGTTGGTAATGTACAGTTCTAAGACAGTGTGTAGCATTAAAGCATCCCCTATAAATGGTGCATGGTTGCAAAGGATTTTGTAAGTAGCACTGTTGTTTAATGTTTGGAGCATAATACATGTCAGTATATGGTAAAAGACTATGATTAGTAATTGGTGAATGATGGTGTAAAAATAATTTTTTCCATCCTCCATCCATATAGGAGAGGATATATGACTGAAATCCTGTGTTGAATGTTCCAGCTATTCTTTGGGTTTTAGCAGGATTAATTTTAGCACCAAAGGTCAAGAACCAAGAAGAAGGTTTTGCACCATAAGAAATGTCATATGTAAGATTAATTAAGGGGTCATGAATGGTGCTGCATACATTATAGTGAGTATGATGTAAAGGAAAAGGCATAGGTCTAATTGCTGTCTCAGGATATAAGTATGTTTTGTGGGAAGTATGTGTAGATATGTTATGTAAATTAGTTGAAGAAGAAAAAGTGTAATCCAGAGTAAATTTTCTGTAGGTTGTAATGGGAAAAGGACCATATGAATAAGGGTGTGTGAGGAAAGCTGGTTTTTTGTTTTCTGGAGAATGTTTAGGAATAATTGCATATGGGAGAAGTGGATTAACAATAAAATTGTTATTACAGTCAATTGTGTAGCTAGTAGTATTTTTTGGAAAGAGAAACAGAGGAAATTGGAAGAAATTGTATTGTTGAAAAGAATAGGTGTAAAACATAGAAACATTACCTAAGGCTTGTGGTGTCTGTTCCTCTGTAATAATAATCTTGGTTGTGGAAAGCCAATCCTGAATTGAGTCGTTAAGTATGGAAGATAGACGTGAACAGTTATATTTAGGTACAGGAGTTAATATGGGTGAGCAAGTACATATGTGTGTGGGGTTTGCACAAAATAATTTATTGTCTTTAGGTATTTCATTCCAATTGTTATGAATTGTGCCTGGATAATGTGGTGTGTTGACATCCATATTCCAAAATCCTAGAAAGATGGGCATTTTAAGCTTGTAAGCAAGTGATGAAGTTTGTTCGCTAGTATGTCTTTGTAATAGATTAACCAGAGGAGCATGTAATTTATTATTGGGGTCAACACAATATAGAGCTTTAGTGATGTTAGTGTAATAAGAAGTAAAATTAGTTCCATTAGTGTTAACCTCAAGACTATTATTGGATATTCCAGCTGGAAAGCATATTTTAAATATGGGTCCAAAAGCTGGACTGGACCATAGTTTCTCCATTTTATCATCAATATCAAATGTAACGGGGCTAATAAGATCAGTAACAATTTGTGGTATGTGTCTGAAAGGCCAATAATTATTGTCTTTTTGTAAGAATTCCTCAGGGTTAATTGCCTCAGAAAAAGGTGTAAACATAATTGGTGCAAAGGTTGATGTAGAAAAATGACAAGGAATTCCTATACAAAAATTACCAAAAGATGGAAAATTTGGAAATCCTGTAAGAAAATATTGGTAATATGTAATGCCATTTTCTTGAACTATATGTGTCATATTAAAATTTTCTGTGGGATTGAATCCTTCAGGTAAGATAGGGTTATTGGTAGGTGGGGAAAAGAAAGGTTTTCTATTAAAAGGTGCCTGTGTTGTTGGAGTTGTTGGTATTGTAGGTGTTGTAGGTGTTGTGGTAACATCATAATATTCATCCTTAGTATCCTGATAATACTCATAATCCTCAAAGTCAGAGCCTAATTCTCCAGTATACCAAAAATGCATTAAATGTTCTTGAAATGGTACAATATTGATTAAGGCTTTTTGTATGCAGGAATTATTTTCTGCATTATAATAAGGATCTATGCTTTGCACTATTTGAACTATCTGTGAATTTAATTTGATGAAAGTATCATTAGAAATATGGTAGCTATTGGTTTTTGGGTCTAAATCAATTGATTCAATAATGGATACAGATCTCGTTGTAAGAGAATCCTGAAACCATTGTTGAGTTATACAATCTTTCAGAGAAGTAGAAGCATGTGTTTTCATAGAGTTTTGAGCAAAATTGAGTGCCATTAGGTCACAAGCAGTTTGTTGATAGTAAGCAGGGCATAATTGATAGGTAGAGTAGTAGTGAATAGAAGTGTTAAAATCAAATTCACCAATAGTGAGAGAGAAAAATGAGTTATTTCCTAAAAGAGTTACAGGATGATGAAAAACATAATGAGGAATACCGTGTGTAAGGTTAAAGTTGGAGTGAGGTAAAGCAATGGGTGATTTAATAGTATTTGGCTTGGGAGTAGAAGTAGTAGCAGTAGAATTAGCAATAGTGGTAGAAGAGGTAGCATCATAGGCTTGAGGTATAGG